TATTCTATTCTATTCTATTCTATTCTATTCTATTCTATTCTATTCTACAAATAGGTTACTTTTTTCCCCAGGCAAGAAGATGCTACAAGCACTGCAGCATCCTGCTCATTCATCTTCCTATATGACACCAATGTTTATCAAACTTTTGTTATTTGTTTCCTCTTTAGCAGTGTAACAGATTAACAGAGTTGGAAGGGACCTTATAGGTAAACTAGTCCAAGCCCCCGCCCAAGCAGGAGACCCTACATCATTTCTGACAAATGGCAGTCTAATCTCTTCCTGAAAGTCTCCAGTGACAGAGCTCCCAGAACTTCTGAAGGCAAAGCTGTTCCATTGGTTGATGTTTCTCACTGTCAGAAAAGTTCTCCTTATTTCTAGTTGAATCTCTCCTTGGTCAGTTTCCATCCCTTATTCCTTGTCTGGCCTTCAGGTGCCTTGGAAAATAGCTTGACCCCTTCATCTCTGTGGCAGCCCCTCAAATGTTGGAAGATTGCTATCATGTCTCCCCTGGTCCTTCTCTTCACTAGACTAGCCAGGCCCAGTTCCTGTAACTGTTCTTCATACGTTTTAGTCTCCAGTCCCCTAGTCATCCTGGTTGCTCTTCTCTTCACTTTTTCTAGAGTCTCAACATCTTTTTTATAGTATAGTGACCAAAACTGGATGCAGTACTCTAGGTGTGGCCTTACTAAGGCTTTATAGAGAGGTATTAGAACTTCACTTGTTCTTGAGCCTCTTAGGTCAGTCCAGTACACTATGTCAGCTTTTGTTTTTTGCTTTGCTTGAATTTCTGTGTCAGACCTCTTGTTAATTCGTGCCTTGGGAACCAGATGCCTTATTATATGGCTTTGGTCTCTGCAGCCTCCTGCGCTTACTCAGCAAAAAGCAATCACTCCCAAACCCATAACGAGAAATCAACAACTCTTAAGAAGTATCGCTGGACTGGTTTCACCATGGAGGCGGGGGGGGGAAACCTCTGTAGGAGAGAAAATGAACCGAAAATATACTTGGCCGGTTTGTGCTGAAGCTGCACCCCCACTTTCTCAAGCGACATAATTTGGAATGCTGTCATCACAGAGAGCAGAGTTTTTATTTTTATTATTTATTGATTAAATTAATAAGCTGCCCATCTCACTATCAAGGGATTCTTCTGGGCAGCTGTTGAGAGTTGCATATTTGGGAGAGTGGAAAAAGCGTTCCCATTTCCAAATGCATTTTGCATCCTACTCTTCGTGTTACCCACAAGCAGGAAAAAACAACAAGAGGTGGAGATCAAATTTTCCACAAACTTATGTAGCAATATGCTACATCCTGTTCACCCACCCACCCTCCAGTTTACCTTAAAAAAAAAGCCATCAGCTTCTCACTGGTTTTGCAATATTTAATGTAAGGGCAGACTTAACAAGAAGCCCCTGATTCTGCACTTAAGTAGTTAAAAGGGCGCTAAAATATATTAGAAGGGAACACTGACACATAGTTGATTGCAGCCAAAAGCTGGAAAAAGGAATTAGCTGATAAGATTTCAGTCAGATTTTAATCTTCTCCTAAGTCTGTTCCAAGCTAAGGAAAGGAACTGTAGCTAGGAAAGCACAAGTTAAATTGATATGAGTTTAATGTCACTTCTGGAAAAGATGCTAAAAGTTCAAGACTTTCCTTCCCTCCTGCTTCATCAAAGACCTTGGTGATGTTTTGGGTAATCATTTCCCAATGTAAATTGTGGACTGCCTCTCTCTCACACAGACCCAAAGAATTTTGTTATAGCTGAAATCAATACCATAATGTTTCCCATGCTTAACCATTTTAAAGATATTTGGACTTCAACTCCCAGAATAGCCCAGCCAGCATTGCAATACACACATCTTACAAATGGCTAAGCATGGGAAACATTGATCTAGGCACCACACCACATTGTTTTCCAAGCCTTATTCATATTGCCTGCCTGGATCCACTTAAGATTATTAATGATTAACTCACAGTTCACTCCTTAACAACCATATATTAGTATGCTCAAAAATCAATCTGCTTCCACGAAAAACTAAATTCCCAGAAGCGTTATCAAAAGGCTAGATTTAAGCGATGATTTTTGCCATGCTGGGTGGGAATACACCAAATATTTCTGTGGCTTCCTTGGGTGACATGCTAAGATCTTCACGTGAACTAGATCCTTTGGGCATGTGTGCGCATATGTGTGCGAGACGGTGTCTTGGCTCCCTGCCCGTTTCCTGTGGGCCTGTCACTAAACAGATTTCCTCCTCTTCCCGAACATGTTATTGATCAGTTTGGCCATGGATTTTGAGCCACTGGGCCGTCTTTTCTCCTTCCCCTTGGGATGAG